ACCTGGGGGTTTTAATGTTGAGAAGAGAAGGCTCAGGGGGGACCTGATCGCTCTCTGGAACTGCCTGACAGGAGCATGGAGTGAGGTCTCTTCTCCCAAGGAACAAGCATCAGACAAGAGGAAGCAGCCTTGCTCCCCGCAGCCGACAGCTCCGGGGCAGGCAGCAGGTAAAACACTGCTGGAAGATCAAGCAATGTGCTGGGAGGTGACCTTGGGGACTTGGTTCCTGCTACTGGGGCTCCCACCCTTGTGCTGCTGAGCAAGAGCAAACATCCTGCTGGGACTGGGTCTGTATTTCCCAGTTGCAGACCCCAGGGACTTGATCTGCTCCCACGGCTGCTGCTCCTTAGGCTGCAATACCCGGCTGGGGAATGCCATAGGAGAGCACAAGCAATGGTTTCTGTACTGGGGCAGTGTGTTAGTGCTCAGCTGGTGCTGGGGTTAGTAGCTGTGCCTCCCCCAGTACATGCAGCCCATTCACATCCTGAGGGAGAACCGGGCTCCTGAGGAGCAGCTACAGCCCAGCTCTGCAGTAAGAGGCAGAAGCATCACCCAGCACTGGAGGGATGGCTTATTCACTGTGGTGCAGGAAGGTTAAAGATCAAGGGCAGAAAACAAAGGACACTATTGAAAGTCTGGAGTCAGCCAGGGATCAGTTTCAGGCCTCGCAGCAGAGCAGGATGTGCTCCATCGCAGGGTGAGGGCTCTGCCACAGCATTCCCGTGCTGCCACCAAGGGCATGCTGCGGCGGAGGAGCTGAGTGAGGAGACGAGGATTAAACACAGTGAGATTCACTGGAAGAGGTGGAATGGGGCTGTCGGGGACAGCCAGAGAGCAAGAGAGCCCGCACTGTGTGGGACCAGGGTCACTATGAGGGTTAAGGGATGTGCTGCCAGCCGCGGGGTCCAGCACTAGAGGGACGGAGCTGCTGCCCAGTTACCGATGTTGGAAGAAGCCTTCCAGCGCCTTGCAGACCGTGTAGCGCTCAGGGGGGGTCAGCAGATGCTCCAGCTGCTGCGTGAAGGTCCGTCCTTGGATCTTGATGCTAGAGGGGAGGATGTCTGCGACCCACTGCAGGGAGGTGAGTGCGGAGGAGCTGCTCGGGGAGTCGGCAGCGTCAGAGTCTGCAGGGCGCGGGTAGAGAGAGAAGAGACAGTTCAACAGACAGAGGGTCTCCACCACGGGTTAAAAGGCTGGTCCTGAAAGCAGGGGTCAGAGCTGGGGATGCGAGGGCAGCTGGGCACCACGGCGTTTGGGCAGTGGGCTGCTGATGGTCCTGTGTGTGTCCCCCCAGTCCCTGCCTGCAGCCAAAACCACTCACACACCCCGGCCTCCACCTCCTGGTCCTGCGGTTAAATGTCTTGGGTAAGGGAGACCTCAGAACATGAGCCTCAGCCCCATAGGAATACAAATCCTGATGGGCTGGTGCAGAGGTTGTTGCCACAGGGTAAACACAAGCATATTTCAGGCACTGAAAGGCAGCATGAGGATAAGGTGGAGTGGCTCGTCTGGAGCTGGCACTGCCCTGTCTTCCTGGGCCAGCTCCCTGGAGCTTGTGGCTGTTCCAGGAGGACCTGCTGGACACGAGCAGGGGTGTTTTGAGAGGGATCCTCTCCGGGATCTGCCTCTTCAACCATGCTGCTTCTATGCTTTCTGTGAGCACATGCAGATGTTGTCCTTTCTCTGGCTTTCCAAAGCCTCTCTCTGTTCATGTTTTAAAGCACTTCATGATAATCATTGACTTCAAAAGCAGCATCAGTCAAGGGTTACCTGTGAGTGAACTGAGGCTTGGAACGGCTTTTGCTTTGCCAGACTCATCTGCACTGGTCCCTGTCCTGCTTCTGCAGTAAGTGCAGGGCAATACACACAGCTGGGAGAAGGGACCTAACTGAGACCATGGGATGCACTTATCTATTTAGGAATATCCATGGGATACACTTATCCACCCAGGAACATGGCCAAGGTAACAGGAACAAAACAATCCATCTTTTCTTGGTTTCTTTTGGGAGGCAGTGAAGCTGTTTGGGTACCACTGCTCTGGGTACCACTGCTCTGTGCTGTCAAGCAGTGGAGTGCTCGGGTTTGTTTCTAGCACACATACAAGTGAGTTGGTGCCACAGGGTTCCTAAGGTGCAGCTCTGGAGAGTCCATTGCTGCTCCAGAGGAAGAAGCCAGTCCCTCATTCCTGCACTGTGGAGCAGCACCCCAATAACACGCTGATACTCCTGGCTTCAGAGCAGCGACCGTGCTCTGCCCTGGGCTGTGGTCCTGCCCCTCTGCTCAAGTGGTGCTGATGGGCACCGGCCTGGCCCCAGCCACCCTCCCTCCTGCTGCTGTGCTCACCACGGCAGCTAAATTATTCATCCCAGCAGCAGCTATTCTGAGCAGCACAGCCCAACACAGCGCGGGGTTTGCACAACGACCATAGATGCACAGGGTTGGATTACTCCAGTCAAGTACACGGAAAGGACATTGGCAAGGGCTGGCAAGGGCGATCATACAGTAGGATGAACCCTTCTGCAGAGCAGCCAAGCCTGAGATCAAGCCTGATCCCAGAAAGCAGACAAAGGGAGCAGCCTTCCAGTTAGTGCATTAAACCTGCTGAGTCTGTGGGAGCTATTTGGCAATTCCCACTGTGGGGAACTGGAATTGGATCCATTGAGGGGGTTCTGCAGCCCCAGACCCTCCTCCCTGCGCTCTTACCACTGGAGAAGTTGACGATCCCCTCTTCCACCACCAAGGTGGGCATCGCCCCACTGCCCTGCAGCATCGACACCACCTTGTCATGGGAGCAGTTCCTGGGGACACAGAGAGCCAGGGTTAGGGCAGCGCTGTGGGCAGCAGCTCAGGGGGAGCAGCCGCGGAACAGAGCTTGCAGCCACCTTCACTTGTCTCACAGAAAGCCTCATCCTGCTGCTCAGAGCCAGGCAGCGCTGGGCCCCGCTCTGATCCCCCCAGGCTCTCAGTCATTGCTTGGTTTTATCTGTGCTGCACACAAAAGAGCCTCAATCACACTCTGCGACCGAGCCAGAGGTGCTTTAAGCTCCGCTCGGACCCAGAAGATGAACTTCTCATTTCAGTGGTGCAGCGCTGCGGGTCTCTCCCTGCCTGGCCTAATTCTGCCGGAAAGGAAAATGCAAGGTGGATGTAAAATGTAATTCTGTAGGCAAAACAAGCTCAGAATGCCCTTGGAAAAGGGTACAGGCCGGCCTGGGCCAGCGCCTGCTCTGAGGACAATCTTCAGCTCGTTTCTCCTCTATTCTCTGGCAATGCTGCATCAGCCCCAGGTCTGCTGGATCAGCTGAAACGCGAGAACCTGAGCACTGACAGAAGCAGCATCAGATGTTTAACCTTTAAATATTCATCACTCTCTCATCCTGCAGCCTCCTCTAACCCTTTGCTCTTGCTTTTTGGGTGGAAAGACCAGCCCGAGGAGACACGGGCTGCTGGCAAGGTGCACGCGCAGCTCTGGTTGGATCGCTGTGAGCAAATAAGACACAGAAGAATTAACTTCTGGGTGGAAATGCCATTGCCTGTGCGGTTCTAAGTTTAGGATCCCATTCTGGAAGTGGTTCATGGGCTGGCTGGTGCTCAGCTCCTTTCAAAAGCAGAGCCCCAGGGGTTTATCACGTACCACATAACTCACAGCGGCTCAAATCAGGGTCCACGGGTGGGCTGCGGTGAGGACCCTGGTTTCATACAGTGCCGTGCACTATACATGGTTGTCGGTATAGAGAAGTCGAAGGAGGAGAGGGGATGGAGCTGAAATAGCACTCTCGGAGCCAGGTTTTGTAAAGGAATGTTAAAGGAGATGCCCACGTGGGGCAACCCCCCCGTGCACCTCATTGGGAGCTCTCAGGGATCACCAGCTCTCGTGTGGGTTGCACAGGAGCGAAGAAGCGAAGACGCGCGTGCTTGGCCACCTTCCACCCCAGGACCCCTTGGCACAGGTCTTCTAAAGAGCCTCCTACCTCATGTCCAGGCCGTTGAGGAACAGGATCCGGTCTCCAGCCTTGAGGGCAGCCTTCTCTGCTGGGCTCCCTAAATCCACAGGGAACAAGAGGGGCTTTAAGCTGGCAGACCCCTGCTCACAGCGATGGGGTCCCAGCTCTCCGGCTGCTCCATGGCCAGGGACACCCCACCAGGGCAGGGCATCCACAGCAGTGGATTATCTGGGCGAGCTGGGGCCATTCCCTGGGCCCGGTGATGCCAGCACCCAGCTTGCATTGGAAACACAGGTGTGATTCCAGGCTATTCACTGCACGTGGACATTTCCCACCTTTCAAAACAGGGAGTGCATAAAGCCAAACTAAATCGCACCAGAGACACCAGTTACTCAACTTGGGAAACTCCATCCCTGAGCCTTGTGAAAGCCCATTTTGCCATTTTCTAGCCAACAGCAGGTGCTTAAAACTTCCAATTCAGACCAGAGACAAATCAGTGTCTGAACCTGGTGGCTGGAGGCTTCCTTACCGGGCAGCACAGACTCAATCCACACCGGGGCATGGCCACGTAGCGTGAAGCCAAAGCTTCTGTTGCCTTTATAGACTCGCACAGTTCTGCAGGGGAAAAAGCAAATGTGAAGCTTAACACCCATTAACCAGGGCTCCAGCATGATGAGGGTGGGCGATCCAGAGGCTTGAGGAGACAACGCTGCATTAGGGCAAAGCCCCTGAGCATGGACTTTTACTCTACATTAAACACTGAATTCATAAATCTACCATCCAGCCCTTCAAATCCAATGTGTTTTCGGTGTGGGACATGGGATATAGCTTATGTATTGCATAGCGTAAGAGACAGCATGCTTTAGGGGGCAATGATGAGAGAGAAATCACATTCCACTAGGAATTTTGGAAGGAGCATTAGGAAATTGCCCTGCTGGGAGGCTGATTGGAGCTGGGAGTTGTTCCTTGCAGGGAGCTGGGGGAAGCAATGTTACTGAGATCATTTACAACCACAAAGCCTGTTGCAGGGATGGATCCTATGCTGTCGCAGAGGGAGACTGTGCTGGAGCTGGATTTTGGACCAGTCACACCAAAAATTACCCTGGCAGGGAGGTGGGATGCTGCCGGACACCCTGCAGGTACCAGCTGGAGGCAGGGGAATAGCTCGGGGCATGCCTGTAGCAGCACTGTCCATCCCGGAGGATTCCCCAGCTGTGCTGGCAGAGCAAATCCCGCTGGGAATGGAGCAGGAGCCACCGCCAGCTGAGCTCTGGCCATACGGGCAGTGGGAAATGGGTTAATCCCCTGCGGACCAGGGATTGCCCCTCCTTCGTCCTTCCTCCCATGGCCTCGAACACAGACACCCGCTGGGGCAGGGCAGGACAATGGAGTCTGTTCTGTGCCAAGGCACCCAGCACGGCCAGATACCCTGCATCCCACTGGCACAGCCAGATACCCTGCATCCCACTGGCACATCAAAGTACCCTGCATCCCACTGGCACATCCAGATACCCTGCATCCCACTGGCACATCAAAGTACCCTGCATCCCACTGGCACATCCAGATACCCTGCATCCCACTGGCACATCAAAGTACCCTGCATCCCACTGGCACATCAAAGTACCCTCCATCCCACCAGCACAGGGGCAACATCCCCTCGCACCCTGCAAGCGCCACCTCAGCTCCTCCTGCGGCTCATCCCAGTCAGCCCTGTAACAGTGAGGGGGCAGAAAGAGTGGCTCAGAGCTGGGACAGGGGGCACAAATATTCCCTTTGTTCATCCTCATCCCAGCTGGATTCCATCCACTCCTCACCCCAAAGACATCCCCTTTCCCTGCCATCCCTCCACGCAGGACCCCGGACACGCAGGAGCGGTGTTACCTGCGGGCAGCCCCCGAGGCCACATTGCTGCTGAGGAGCGAGGCGGTTTTGCGCAGGCTCTTGCTGAGCTCCTCGTGGCTGCGGGGCACGGAGCTGGCGCGGG